ACCGGCGCGCGTGGTTGTGCTTGGGCACGGGGGGCCCCCCAGCCAGTCCACCCGCCGGCCCTGCTGGCTGCGGGCATCGTGAGGGTCAGGTCCAGCTCTGTCCCCCCTGCACTGCCCAGCCCTGGGGAACCTGTCCCTCCACCAGCTGGGACCAGCACCCGGGATGGCACCGGCCAAGCAGCTCTGCAGAGGCAGCCCCTGCGCTGGCACAGCCGGGCACGGTGCCCACCCCACGGTGGGGCATGGCAGCCTGGGCTGGAGCCTTGCTGCATCCCGGGCTCCTCCGAGATGCTGCTGTGCCCTGGGGCTGGGGGGACAGCCAGAGACAGCAAGGGGAAACTGAGGCAGCCCCAGAGAGTCCCATGGGAGGGAGGAGATAGCAAAGGGAGGCTTTAGGTCCCGTTCAGTTCCTGAGCAGGCCTGGCCGGGGCTCTGGAGGGAAGGGGCAGTTGGCATTAAACATGGGCACGGTGCTGCAAAGTAAGGGACTAAAATTAGGCACCGAGATAAACGGCCAGAGGTGCTGAGCCACCAGGGACACTGTCAGTGCAGCCATCCCCACCGGGGTGCCATTGCTGTGCACCACCAGCTGCAAAAGCATGCCCTCGCTGCCCCACTGTAACTCTGGGCTGGACGGGAAGGGGCCACGGAGGGCCACGACGCACAGGCAGCTCCTGCCCCCTTCCCTGCCCCCAAGCTGAGGCGGGTGCAGGCTGTTCCCTGGGCAGAGGAAAGGTTCCAAGGCAGTTTGATTGCTGAGTGCAGGTGGAGGCGAGTGGAGCAAGACCCTGCGCTGGGAGTGCAAGACGGACAGATCCAACCTTGAAACAAGAGGCAGCCCCGGTGGGGAGGATCAGGCAGCGCTGGCATCGGCGAGGGAGGGCTGGGCTCTAAAAGGAGATTAGCTCGGGTTCTTAAGAGGTGATTTAATCCAGTTTACAGGGGAAAAATTCAGGAGATGCAGCTGAGAGGTGATACAGGCTTTAGTGATCCTGGGGGCGATGGAGCCACAGTGGAGACCAGGGCTGGCTGGAAGGGTCTGGAGGGTCCCTGGATGGACCTGGGAAGCCCCTGGACCAGGCTGGTGCTGGTGTGAGAAGGGCCAACGCACCCCACCTGTGCCCATGGAGCCAGGGTATGAGGGAGAACCTGCAGCAGGAGAGGGGCAGAGTGGTGGGACACGGCGGGGACAGTGTGACACGGCAGGGATGGTGTGCCCCCGGGGAGCCCCTGCGCCCGGCTGCCCAGCCAGCCCCATGCATGCACTCCCCACGCCGGGCACTGACGCACTCGGGGGACCTGGGAGAAGAGCAGGAGAAAATCATTAGTGGGGTGGAGCGACAGATTCAGGGCAAGGGATTAGAGGAGCTAAATCGGGCTCGTGTGAGCAAGGGGGAATGCTGATCTGGTGCAGGAGGAGCTGCCGGGGCCGAGCATGGAGCTGGGCAGCACGGAGCCCCTGCACCCCACCAGCAGTGACCTGAGCCACCTTGGGGAGAGCTGCAGCCTGGCCTGCACGCCGGGGAGAGAAGGTGGAGGACCGGGCTTTGTGTCCACCAGAGACTGTGACCCATCAGAGGCTAACAGAGCAAGGGCACCCCAATACCTCCAGACACAGAGGGCCAGGACCCTGAGCCCAGAGAAAGACCTCATCCTGCCTGGGGACCTTGCACACATCCCCCTTGCCCCATAATTGGCCTATGACCCAGCTCACAGGGACACCCAGGGAACAAGGATGGGATGTCCCTGCCTGGCACAGGGACGGCGCAGCCACCAGCGGACCTTCTACAGTCCCCAGAGAGCTGGGTCTCGGGGGGGAGCGTGGAGAGCCCCTGAGCAGCCGGGGCCTCCATGCTGGAGGCCAGAGAGCCACGGCACACATCCTGGCAGGGTGTCAGGGCAGGCGAGTGCAGAGCGGTGGCACAGCTCCTCCATTTCACACGACAACACGTCTCACCACTCGGCCGCTGGCATGAAGAAAATGGCCTCGGGGGAACAACACGCTGAGTGCCAGCGCCTTGCAACAGGGCCAGGCAATAGGGCTGGACCACCCACCACATCCCATCACCTCCACACCAGCACCCCTCTCCAGCACCCGACAGGACATGGTGCTCCCTGGGCACTGCCACAGCACACTGTGGAGACCGTTCTGTCCCAGGGCAGGGGCAAAGCCACACTGCGGGCTGCCGTGCTCCTCGCCCAGCCTGGTGCCCCAGAGCCTGCATGGTTCCAGAGGCATCTCTGCCCCAGGGCTGGCTTTTTGCTCCATGGTGGTGCACCCACGGCCAAGCACCTGCCAGGAGGAGCGCCTGGGGCAGGGTGACATTCACCCCACACGTTAGGCAATCCTGGCTGCTCCATCCCTCCCTCAGCTGCTCCAGAAAGGCAGCAGCGAAGGCCGGCAGCTGGGAATCGGGAGCAGGGACGAATGCGTCAGCACAATGGGAACGGGCACCTGGGGAAATCAGGCAGTGCCGCGCCCCTGAGCAGAGGCAGGGGGGCCCGGGCCGGCGGTGCCATGGAGAGGTGCAGCTGCACACCGGAGTGTGAGAACAGGGTGACTCCCCTCCCTCCGGCCCCTCCAGGACAGGCTGCTCCCACCCTGTGGGGCAGTGCACGTCTCCCATGCTCTCTGCACACAGAGCACCATGCATCTGACTGCGTGGTGCAGATGCAGTGCCACGGTCCTCAAAGGTGCGATGCGCAGTGACCCCACGCAGACCCACTGCAGGGCAGGACCCCTCCTGCACACTTCTCTGCTCCCCCTGTCCCCCCACCAGGCCCATGAGCAGCACGTACACCTCTCTCCATCCTCCAAACACCGCTCCTCCAGCCTCCCGGCTCACACAGAGCAACTCCTCTTCCTCCATTGCTCCCCTTCAGCACTGTGAAGGCTCCTTCTGCCACCCAGTCCTCCCCTCAAGGTGCAGCATCTCCAGCGTGGCTCCCGTGCTGCAAAGCCCCGGGTGCAGTTCCTTCCCTGGAGCCTCAGGGCTCAGCACCGCCTCCCTCGCTCCCTGCCCTCGCTATCCCCACACAGACGGCACAGCTCGCATCTCAGAGCAGTGCCACCGGCCAGCACCACACGCTCCCCGACACCCAGGTCTGCAATACCCCAGGGAGGTGGCATCCATCCTGGGGCAGAGGGGGCTGAGCCACAAACCTGCTTGGCCCCTGAGCAGGATGAGGCCCGCCCAGGCAAGGGCCCACAGCAGCCCCCATGCACTCCCTGCACACCAGAGGAGCATGCCCGGCTGCTGCACCCAGGGGTGACGCGCAGAGGGGCTGCCATAGGGCTCTAAGGGTCCAGCAAAAGCTGGCTCCACACCCTGCTAATTAACCATCAGGCCCCGCCCACTGCAGGGCATAGGCTCCACCCACTTGACAGCCCCGCCTCCTGCAGTGTTAGGCTCCTCCCCCCGGTCCCAAACCCAGAGGGTCCCAGTTCTCCCAGTGCAGCCCCAGCGCCTGGTACAGCTGTGATGGTGATGCCACGGGCAGCTCTGCCTGCGGGCAGCTGGCGCACGGGGGTGGCTTGTGCAGGGGCACCGGGGGATACCAGGGACCGTGTCGGTGGCTGCGGAGGGTGACACCACCGGTGCCGTGCACCCGAGCCGCGTTTCTCTCTCTCTCTCCTCCTGCCCTGAGCAGGCTTGGCATCACATGCTCCCAACACCTCTGTGCCCAGCCCTGGCACCCTGCCTGGCCTGGCAGCGGGTACTGCAGCCACATGCTCGCTCCAGGCCAGAGAGCCACCCCGGTGCTGCTGGCACCGGGCACCCCAGCCTGCAGCAAGGCGGGCACAGCAAAGCCCAGCCCTGGCTGGCCCCAGGCATGCACTGCGGTGGGAGCCTGCAAAGCACCGCTGCCACCCTCGGCAAACCCGTGCCCACGGCTGTGCCAGCACAGCTGTGCCAGTGGCCACACCGCCCTTGCCTTCCATGTCAATGATGGCCAGCACGGCGCTGGTCATGGCCTCTCCCCGCTCGTTCTCGGCAATGCAGGTGTACACGCCAGCATCCTTCTTCTTGCTGTCCCGGATCCAGAGGGTGCCATACTCCTCCCCGCGTGGCGCCAGCAGCTCCTCGTTTCGGTACCAGCGGAGGCTGGGCCGGGGATTGCCCACCACAACCACCCGCAGCCGGACGTCGCCGCCG